GTTAATAACTTTCCGTTATTTTTCAAAGCGAAATTTGCAGCGTGAACGAAAAGTTCTGAATACAAAACGCTTGGATCTTGATGCAGCCAAAAGCCGATTAAGAAAAGCAAAGTCAGTAGAAGCGCAAAACAATGTAAGTTTTGCACTCTGTGGTTACAGATTTTATTAGTTCTGCAGTTATTTTTAGAAAAATTTTTTTAGTAGTTTTAAAAAATTATTTCGATAATCAACATTATTTATTTATATATGTATATATATACGTATATATGCCTGATATTGTGTTTTATCAATTGTTATTTTTTCTTTCACACATATTTATTGCAGTTGGGAAGTTCTTTTTCATCAGAACAGGTTTCTTTTTTTCCCGGTCTTTTTGTTGTTCCTAATATATATAACGTTTTTTACATGTGTATACTTGTATTTGTGGTAGAGATTTGTGTTATGTTAATTATTTCGTCAAATAATATTACGATACATTGTCATAAGGTGGATATCCGGTGTGTTGTTTAATTTATGCATAAGAAAATAGGATTAAAAATATAAAACAAGGTCGTGATCTGATCAGCAAGAATAGTTGAATTTTGTAAGATAGTTTGATTACATGGGATGATTCATATCAGTTAAAGTTTACGCTTACATATGACGCATATATTTGAGAATATTAAAATAAGGATTTTTGATAAAGGTCTTTTTGTAGCTTTAGTTATACATGAATGCGATTTCCCACCACTTTTTGGTTACAGAATTTTTTTTTCTTCAATCGAATAATTTGTATCATTTGTAGGCAGAAGCTGATTTACGTGTGGTGCAAGCGGAATTCGATAAGCAGGCAGAAATTACGAAACTACTTCTCGAAGGAATACAAACTGCTCACGTAAGTATGATCTTTTTATGTTTAAAGCATTACCAAACGAGTTTTCACCGATATTTTATTAGAAAATGGTTCAGGCGTATTTCTTTTTATTGTCACACTGCATTACTTTTTGGAAATGTCTCGATCAGCAAAATTTCTATTTCTGTTCTTCAGGAAACAAAATTACAAGCATATTTGTTTTCAAATCTTTTAAAAATTTCAGAACAACCACTTGAAATGTTTACGCGATTTCGTAGAATCTCAAATGTCGTTTTATGCCCTTGCACACCAACATATGGCTGAGTTACAACGAGAGCTTTCAGGGTGATTTTTTTTTAATAGAAAGTTCTTTGTCATTCATAGTAGCTGCAGCTGCGTAAGAATATTGAACGGAAAAACAAATGGAGGATTATTATTCACTTCGAAATATATTTAACGCTTGTCTGCTTTTCTGAAAATATTTTTTCTGGGATTTTATTGTTCTAATATAGTATAATATATTTCTATTTCGGCATTTGAAATATATTTCGGCATATGAATCCTTCAGTAATTTTCTGCTCACTTGCCTCCTGCATCATTACTGTTATGAATTTTTGAGCTAGTATTTATTTTCTCAGTAAATATAGTTTTTGGTAATTTGTGCACAGCTGCTTCAAGATCATATTCACTCATTATTAGCTTAACTGCATGATATTTTCATGTTTTCCTTGTTTCAAAGATGAATTTGAAAATATGCGTGGTGATTTTTCTTTTTATTTTGTAAAAAAAATGCGAATATACGTTTCTGAGAAATCAAAGTAGGATAAAATTACTGGTCATGCTACTCTGTGTTTTAAAACCTTTTTTGGGATTGAATTAGATATTGTGTACATCACTTTGTGTTTGTTTATTGTAGTGCACCGGATGCAGAATCTACTATAGGCCTGTTTAGTGGTTACAGTGGTACCAGCAACAGCACAGGTAGTAGTGGTAACACAGTAACAGCTCCAACAACACACCAAACTGTACGGCAGCTAAGTTCTATTCCAAGTTCAAAAGACATCGTCAACCCAAGCGCTGCTGAATGAACGAATTTTTCCTATCCATGTAGATTTCTTTGCGTGTATTTAAGTTCGAGGTCTTTTCATTCTTCTTCTTGCTTCTTTTTTTATTCCGCTGATTAATATCAAATTCATTTTTTTCTAGCAGTAGTCAAAAGTTCTAGAGAAACTGAGAATGTAGAATGTGCAAGTAGACGGATTTCAAAAAAAATGGAGGAAGAAATCTCACTATATAAGGGACAAGAATGAAAAACAGAAATGGAGGGGTGATAACATTCAACTAGGAGTAAGGCTTTTATTTTTTGCTTTGAAATTCGTTCATAGAATTTCATTCTTAAGTACATTCCAGCCAAATTACCATTAAAAATGCCATCCAACCGCATTTTATCTTTGATTTATTCAAAAATTTGGTGTTTCTTAACTAGTTTACGCAAAATTAATTCCTTTTTTAGTTGTACAAGCTTCCTGTAATGTTGCATCACTTACCTTTTTTTAAAATCATTCTAAAACATCATTATAGTGGTTTTGGTGGTGTTCAGGTGTATTTCTCCGTATCGTTTGATAGTTTTGTTGCACAAATTAAACTGGGTTAATATTAAGTATACTAAAGCTGAACACGAGCATGCAAATGTTTTAATATCTAACGAGGCAGGAGACATTATTTAATCATTATTCAACAAAATCATTTTGTGAAAAATCTATGAGGTTTGTTATATCTTTGAAATTTCTTAGTTTATTTCTCTTTCATTTTCCAGTAATATTTTTTGGCTTAGTTTCTTTTTTCTGGTGTTTTCAACGGTCTTTTTGCTTTTCCTCAAGTTCTTGTGCTTGATGCGGTGTCTTATGCACAAGATTTATATTCTATATTGTTCATTTTCAAATATCATAAATGTATTGGTTAATCTGTTTTTAACTGCCTGAACACAAAGATAGGAAAGTGAAAGCAGTAAGCATAAAGTTGTTTTGTCCCGGGAACAATATGTCTTTACAGGGAAAAAATAACAGAACTTACAGAGGATGATGAAGTTGTATATATATATAGTCGGTAACTTGTAGCACCACCTTGACATTTATCTTTTCTGGCTAGCGATTTGATTAATAGTAAGGGGAAATTCAATAGGAAATTTTTCAAATTTGGAGTTTTGTTCTGAAATTTTTGTTCAATGCAGAACCATATCATTTTTTGGCATCATATAACCAAATGTCCGTTATTGACCCTCGTTTCGTTGAAGTTAGTCTGGAATGTCATCATAAACTAAGGGCGGCAGAAGGTTAGTTTTTTTTAAGTGTGAGATTCTTATCTTTAGGATTCTATCATTCCGATGTAAGTCTTTGACTTTACCTGATAACGATTATTTTCCAAAACGGCGGTCATCCAGTGCAATGGCAGTACGCAGATTCCGTTAATGACTCAACCTTTTTGGGAGGTCTGGAAGCAAGACATACATGATCAGTGTTATTCAATTACGATCTGGTTTCGAAGCAGGAAGTTTCATTAAGGAGAAGTGAGGTGAGATTTTTCCTTCTCTATCTTCAATATAAATTTCCCAACATTCCTTTATTCTGATCTAAATTATAAAACTTCTTGATCTAAATTGTAAAGTTATTTTGCTTCATGCAAAATCTGGTGAAATATAATAGGATCGCTTATTGATCTCATCTGTATTCTCGTGCTTTAAAATTAAGTTAACAAACATATTTTAATTTACCCATATTTAATTAATTTATGCAAATCTCGAGATTTTATTTAGGTCGTGATTATATGTGAGTAATCTGAAATGGATAATGGCCGAAAAGTGCAGGAGAAGAGGCATATGTTCCTCTATCTTATTTTGAGCTCATTTAGTTGTACTGCAAATATTTCTTAGCGACATTACAAATTCAAGGGTTCTTGATATAAAAGCCTAAATTCTGTGTTTCATTTTTTTATCAGCTATCATCGGTCATCGTTCTTTCAAATTGAACATATGTCATTGTAACAATTTCGACAAGTTCGTTGTTGCGAATATATCTGCAAAAAAAAGCATCCGAAAAATGAAATTAAATACAAAATGATTTTTTAACTGATGAGATCTTGTCATCTTTTTTAGAAATATTAATTTTTTTTAATCAAATCTAAATTTTCTTTATCTTTTTTCTAGTAGAAAGAGTGTGTAAAACCAATGATATTATCAATGTCACGATTTTTTAAATTGACAATTTATAACCGGCAATTATCTATCACAAGAATTTAGTCATATCTTTAACCAAAGCGATGTTAGCTTTTGTTCTTTGAGGCCCTAATTGGCACATACGTTTGAAGTATATTATTCATTTCAGTACTACCGCTTATTGTTATTTGTGCTTTTCAAGAAGAAAAAAACTTCTTTAACATACGTTTATGGCATCTGTTTGGTATATGGACAAGCGCAGAGACATTGACCATTCCATACTGTTCCTGAATACCATAAGAGGCTTCGAAAATATAAGTATTTGAAATTCATAGCAACATGAAAATAGTGGTATTGTTAAATTACTTATTTTTAATAAATCATAAATTATTCAAAATTATAAAATACTCTTAGAAGATCATAAAAATTATTCTCATCTTTAATGCAATGTTTCTAACCAGTTTAGCAGCTCGTCTTCAGTTATTTATTTACCTTTCTGCATAGCTGTAAAAACTCTTCTATCCTAACAATGATGATAATACTTTCAATGTATCAATTATAAGTTAGTAAATATCTGATTAGAAATATACTCCTTAATTCTATTATATTGCAAAATGTTTTTTTTTAATGCAAATTAGAAAAAGAAAATGAAAAAAATAATGCTTCCATAAATCATCTTTTTTTTGAACCAAAAATTCGTGACATCAAAATTTTAGGAGAGTATTTGCTTTTTTTCTATAAAAAGCCAAAATATCAAGCTTGCATTATGGTGATAAATGATACTGAAATACAGTCTTCTTGGATCAAAATGAAATAGTAGTGCCGTTTATAAAATTAATCAAATACCATGATAGGAGAAGGTATACAATATAAAAACAACATTGTACGAATTAGAGATTCTCATTCTCTTTTCGGTAAATATGAAGTAAAGTTTTTAGAGATACGTTAACTTTGATTTTAAGAAGATTTTTGTTTCTCACCGGTATTTAGGATAAGTTTATTGGAGTATTTGTTTCGTTGCTCGTGCCATTGCCGCTGTAACTGTTGGCGTTCGTGGCGCAGATAATCCGTATGACTTTGTCGTACACATTGCAATATTGATGCTTGAATACGATTCTCAAATTCCTCACGAGCGCTACAAAGGCATGCCCGAAGTCGAGAAGCATCGTTTGGATGACATTGCGTTTGCAAACGAACACTACGAAAAATGTATTGTTGTAGCTTGAAATTCTAATTAATTCATTTGTTTTAATATTTTTTGATTCTTAAATCAAATAATTTTAATTTCATCAGTTCATTTTCAAAATTTCGAAATTGAATTCTCGAACTATAGATCAGCTACCGTAAAATCGGAATTTAAGTGTAAGCTAACTGTTTTCAAAGCAAAATGGTTTTATTTCATACAAGAGAAATGAGTTAATTTAAAGCTAATCATTAAAACGATTTGCTTTATTAAAATCATACACCGTCATAATTTTTAAATTAATTTCAATTTTTTTAGTTTTTAAGTTAGTTTCAACTTTTTTTTAGTTTTTAAATTTTCAGTTTTTTTTTTGAAAATAATCACCATGAAATTATGCTTGTATTTTCACACGAAAATAAATGTAACAAAGTGGTAAATTTTCACCTACGAATGCATGATCTGATGACATGATCCCTATCAATCAATAATTGCTGATAAAATCTATCGTTACTAAGTTGTCGGCGGTAACATTGTATTTCATTTTCTTCCAAAAAGCATGAATCATTATTTCTAAAATTTCAATAAAATCAGTATGATTTTTCAACTAAATGTAAACATAAACTTTCTGAAAATTTAAAAAAAAAACGAAAAAAACATACAATTTCAAATCAGCTGAATTAATGAATTTATTAATACCGCCACCAAATACTCGTCCTGTTTTCTCCTACAATAACAGCAATAATAACTGCAAGAATAGTTTTGCGAAGAATGATGTGCAAATTATCTCGGCCATGGAACAATTATTAAAATTCTTATGAAATGAATATGTTTATTTAAAATTAAATTATTATTAATTGCTCTCCGGACCTTCAAAAAAAATCATTTGAAACATTTTACGAATTTCTAAAAAAATTGATAGAAGATACTTTTTGCAGACTTTTTTAATAAACAATATAATCCAAATATCTCAATAACTAACCCTAATTAGGCAAGCTAATGTAGCCGAATTTTCAAGGTATGGATAGGTTGGAATTAGCTGAGGTAATTCCCAAAGATAATCAAAAAATTCCACGCTATAAATTGTACGAGCGTAAATTGCATCTTCTGCAATCAAATTATATATTTAAATAAATAAATAAATGTAAAAATGGAAACATTCCTCAAGGGGAAATTGATCTCTGCACTATCCTTCCATAATGTTTACTCATATTATCATAATCATTTCCATTAATTTCAAACGAATTTTCTAATATTTAATTTTAAACAAAATTACTATATTTTTCTATTACCATCAATTAAAGTAGGTTTGAAATCCGGAAATTGTGCCGACTGTTGGCTGATATCAAAACAATCGTCCAATGCAGATAAATATCGTTGTGCTGAATCAATGAAATTATCAGATTTTAGAATTTCTCGATTGAGCGAAGCACGAACTGCTCGTATCGATCGTTCAAAACAATTCTCGAACAATGCAAGCTCATAATTACATCTACAATTAAATACTATCCATGATTAACAATTGACGATAAAAGAATTTTTGAAATTCTCAATTTTTCTTGATAATTTATTAATCGTAATTCGAAATTACTTTTTTAATTTTTGCTAAATAAATAAAGCGGAACTTCTTAGGCATACATTTTGTCGGTGAAACAGTTTCGGAATGCGGAATGTTTGCGTTCTTGTATGAGACGTTCATATTCCTCTGTAATTATAGCACATCGTTGCAATTCCTCCGCACATTCATCTGAGATCTAAAAAAATTTCAAATTATCGATCTACTCAATCATTCTCATCAATATGATTTTCACAATGATTATTTTGAAGAGAATATTAATTTCCTATTTTTATATCCTCAATGATTTTGTTAGCTTTGTAAAATGAGCAAATTTTTTTTTTTTAAATACACAATAAAATGGAAAATTAATTTTAGCATTAATAATTTAAGGTAGACCTTTAAGAGATAATTTAGTAAATTTTCCTGATTCTTACAAGAAAAACAATAAATTGGGAAATGATCCATTTGAGGTGTTGGATATTCAAGGATAGGAGGATGGATAAGCGGATTAATTTAAAAAAAAAAAAACCAAAAAAAACCAAAAAAATTGAACTTGATGTATATGAGGAGTATGGTAAAGTTTTTACTTTTTTACAATAGATGGCTTACTTTAATCACATACCTTAATATTTAATACAAGTATGATAACAGCAATTGG